AATGCGTATTATTACAATTTTTATGAAAGAATATTTTGATTTATCAAATATTCTTTTTACAAATAATTTAATTAATTTAAATCAGATTTTAACAAAAAGTAAACATTTAAAAACTTAATAAATTTTGCTTATTGGCACATAATTAATTAATTCAATTAATTTGTTAGAAAAAAAAATATTGAGATACTAAAAAAATGGATATAATCAGCTAAAATCTTGAAGGATCCTAAGAAGCTAAATATAACCTTGCTTTGCATCTTCAAAAAAGGAAAAAAGTCAAAGAGATGTACCGAATGAAAGGTGTCTAAATGCTCGATAAGCCTGAGTTAGTCAGTAAAAAATATTTAAATTAATTTTAATAATTTATGAATAGACTGATAATTCATTATAAATATTGAAATATTAAATAAAACTTGTATGTAGATATTATTAAAACAAACTTAAATGTTTAATCTGTAAAAATAAAAACCAAACCATCCATTTAATAATTTACCTTTTGCCTGTTTTGGTTCCAATCAAATTTTATCTGAATTTTAACAAATTTAATAATTTACTTTTTTGCCTGTTTTGGTTCCAATCAAATTTTATCTGAATTTTAACAAAAGTTTCTGATATCTAAGAACCTAAGTTAAAGCCTTATTAAGCTTCAATTTATTAGACTATGAAAAGCGAATTAAGTAAAAAAGGCTACTCTGATTTTAGATTTTTAGGACAGGGAGTATAGGGATTAGTTTTGTTAGCAAAAGATTCGAAAACTAACATGAGGGTTGCCATCAAAGGTGTTTAAGTTAGAGATCCTCAAGGTAATCTTGACGAAGATCTTAACAATCGAGTGAAACAAGAAGTAGAAATTCTCAAAAAATGTAGAGACTCTCCTTATGTAGTCAGTCTTATAGATTAATTTGAGGGATAACAATTTAGTTACTTAGTTCTAACTGAGTGTTAAGGTACAAATAATACTCATTTCTTTTTTAAATTAATAAATTAATCAAATCGCTTTATTGAAAGTCTTTAATGCAAAATTAAATACTATAAATAATAAGGAACTCTCACCTAAATTTTAGAAAGAAACTAAAACAAAAGATTGAATGAAATATCAGCAATCAAATATGCTAACGACATTGCTCAAGGTCTCTACTATATTCACTCTAAGAGCTGCCTTGTTAATGATCTGAAAATGGATAATATCTTAATTGACTATCATGGAAATGCAGTTGTTGTAA